TGGCGTGGAGAATGACCTGGTGAGCAACTGTAATGACTGAGAGAACAAAAGCCAGTGAGTGCGCCGCGGTGCAGCACAAAGCCTTGGGAGTTGTTTTTAAAGACTGTCTGTTTTGTTATTTGTTACTTTGTTTGTTTGAGTGTATTGGTATAAATTGTGCTTTTAATTGTAGTAGTGAAACAACCTCATTACCAGGGTGGAGCTTGTCAGGTGTTCATACCTATATATCCCCTGAAAACATGTGTTTCCATTTCAATGTGTATGTAATGCATTGTTTAGATGTGCAGCAGCCAAAGGAGATGTTGTGCAGTGTGCTGTAGCTTAGTGGTGTATTCTGGCGTTATGCCCTTACTCACTTGTCTTTGGTCTGTGGGCGTGGAATTTGAACAGTAATGACCAAAAAAAATCCTAGTCTTGGCTTTTCCCAGTGCAAAATGTTGTCAGATAATTTGTTTTAACTAGTCCGACTGTTATTTCTTTCTTCATATGTTAATTAAAATACTTATGTTGAAGTAGAATGTTACATTACAAATGGTTTAATGCAACTTCTTGTTTACACGTTGAATCTCTTGAGTAACATTATGAAGTCAGCACTGTTACGCACAACAGTAACAGTTACAGTGGGACACTGTGACATATCCCCACTAAACTGCTGTTCAAAACAAGGCACATCTCTGTATAACAGAGCTTTCCCCCTCTCTGCAGCTTTCTTCTTTTATCCATTTTTCTCATTGCTGTCTTTTCTTCTCATCTAACTTGGACCGATATCAGAGTGTTTTGACTTGCTTTGATGTTTCAACAGGCGATGAAAGCCTGTTGAAAGTGAAAGTCACTGTGGCAGTAGAGCAGCTTTAAAGAAAGAATTATGGTTTTAAGAGCGGTGACTTTAAGAATAAGGGGTAATGATCTTCCACCTCATGAAAAATGGGATTAGTGTGTGTTCCGGTGGGCACTAGTGTGACTGTTAGAAAGACGGTCCTGTTGCGCGTCTTTGAGCAGGACACTGAAGGACCTACTGCTGCTGCTCACTCCAAAAGAACCCTTGGATCAAAGCTTAATGCCTTAAATTAAGTGTATACAACACTGTGGCTTTGAAATTGTCACCAGAGGTCTGTCCAAGCTAGTTTTAACAAAATAGCATCATAACAGATAAGAGACACTTGGCAAGCACAGGGGAAAACATAAATACAAATGTTTACATAGATTGTATAGTATATATTTTCCAAAATGTTCATATAGTATTGTGAACATTTTACCATTTAAATACACATATTGTTTATTCTTGTTTTTATGGTTCTACTACCCCTACATGTTAAATTGGCCCCATTCCTTATCGGTTTTTAAGTCTTTGTTTAAGATGCATTTTTATGTATTGGCGTTTGGCCAAACCTCTTAACTAAAATTTTCATACTATTTTTTACAGGTGTACTAACCCCACTTTAGGCTGCACTGGCCTTTTAGCCTTTTTGTCAATTATCACTGTTAATGTTACCATTGGTATGATGTTTTCTGTTTAAATTCCTATTTTGGCCCTTTTATATTAGGTTCTCCAGGTTGGTGGAGAGTTCCTGCCTCAAGTGGAGGAGTTCAAGTATCTTGGGGTCTTGTTCACGAGTGAGGGAAGGATGGAACGGGAGATTGACAGGCGGATCGGTGCAGCTTCTGCAGTAATGCGGTCGATGTACCGGTCCGTCGTGGTGAAGACGGAGTTGAGCTGTAAGGCGAAGCTCCCGATTTACTGGTCAATCTACGTTCTGACTCTCTGCTATTGTCATGAACTTTGGGTCATGACCGAAAGGGC